CGGTAAGCTTTGTCGTGTTGCGCCGAAAGGAAGACAAGTGTAGCTGATAACCTTCCATGATTGAACCCGCAAAGGTATTGCGTCCATGTTTGGCCTGGCAAAGACGTTCCACACAACACCTGACCGTATCAACAACTTGACCAGTAATTGGTCCATCTTTCTCCTGGGACCCGGCGGTGTGTTTGCCATCATTTTCGTTCGCCGCTTTGGCCGTCTGCCCGTACTCTTTTGGACGTGAGTGCACCATCTGCAGCACTAGAGGATTTCTTTCTGACCGCCTCTCTGGTTTGCTCTGAAGTCAAGTGATCGGACTCGCCTTCCTTGTCGGCGCTACGTTCGCCCCGACCTTAGCCAGCTTCGCCGTCTGTCGATGCCTCAGCGGCTTTTTCTCGACGAGCTCGCAGGTGCTCGGCCTGTACATCTGCACTGACCTGTATCCGGTGCACAAGCAACCAACGCGGTGCGTCGTCGCAGGCACGAAATACGGCATACAGGGTGTTGCGCAAACTGAATTCGGTCTTGTTCATTTTCCGTCACTGCTCAGCGTGGCATTGTGGACCTTTGGCTATCTTGGTGAGCAGAATTGCGCTTGCGGATCTTCAGCATGTTTCTGCTAATCTTGTTGCTGTTATCCTCGCTGTAGCGAGTCCCTTCATTCCGCCCTTCATTTTCGGCTACCTGGCGGCACGTCAAAGTTGGCGCTGGGTGTACGCTTGCGGCTCAATCTACTCGGTGATTGGTGAGTGCATCAATGCCGGTGATCCAGCCTTGTCAAAAATGTGCAAGGCTGTGCTCTAATCGCCTTCCTCCGCTAGTGGTTCTCTTGATTGCTTTCTGCATGGAGGAGACTCTGTACGACCGCCATTTAGATCCTGTCCCCGCACGTCCGACACACGGTCTTCGCTATCGTATCGAGACGCTGCTCGGGCTCACGGCCTGGAAGCTCAGGAAGAATCGCACGCCCATGTGGAAAGCGGTGAAAGAGTGAGTCGGGCGAGCAGGTCTTCACACGCCGACAACAGACCTTTGCTGATGTCGTGTGGCTTTCCGCAGAATGCTCGAGGTCATGTTCCATCCGCAAGCCATTCTTTGCTACATCTTTGGCGCCATCTTCTTCGGATTCACCGTGGGAATCAACGTGACGCTGCCCATTTTCTTGGCTGAGCCCAAGCGTGTCGGTGGCTTCGGCTTCTCGCACGACGCCATCAGCACGCTTTACTTGGTGCCCATCGTAAGTGCCTCCCGTGCCGTCGAGGCTTAGACCATCACGTTGCTTATTGGATGTACTGGGCCGTTAGGTATCTGTCTTCATTGGCGAGGCCCTGGCTGGCTGGTGGTCACGCATGGCTACCAGATGGTCTGTTCTGCATGGACCAAACGTTGGAACGCTGCAAAACGAAGACCTCTTGCTGCCGACTGCGCCGGGCACGCTCCTGTATCTCATCGGTGAGCAATGCTGGCCTATGTACTCCATCCGCCCACAAATAGCTGAGTATTGTGCGCCCCATCGAATCGACAGGTATGCTGGCTTTTGGTGCTGGACTTCAGCACGTCACCTTGGCAGGCATCATCATTGGATGGGCCCTTATTCAGGCAGGCTGCATGGTCAATCTTGTCGCGTGAGTCGAATGAGGCCGGAGATCGTAGGCCCGCCAAGCTGACCCTGTCAGGCCGCCAGCTTGCTGAGCAAGCTATCTCTAGAGATGCCAGACCGTGGCGGAGAGATAGCTGCACTGGTGAATTGGGCCAGAGTCCTCTTCGGTTTCTGCATTCCTTACTTCCAACACGAGTGGGTCAACCGCGATGGTCCGATGGTCGTGTGGGGAACCGAAGGTGGCATAGTCGCCGCACTATGGTGAGTTGAATACAAGATGCTCCCTGCTTATACGCTTTTTGAGACTGTCAAGGCTGAGCGATGTGACGATGATGCCGTCTCCGTTGTGTACAGGCTCTTCACCATGGTCCCATTATGGCTCTTCGGTAGTCGCTTGGGACGCAGGTCTCAGAAAGACGAGCATTGACCCTGATTTCGGCTCCAGAGCAAGCCTCAGCGAGGGTCAATGGCCATGATCCCATGCAAATCGATGGTCACTCCTTCACTTTCCCTTTCTCTCGTTTTCTCTTATTCTCTCTCATTCTCGCCGACTTGACACGGCCTCCGTCCAGCTTACTAACCCCCCTACCCTTCCTTGCGTCTCTCTGTATTGGGCTTCTTACCCTGAATGACTTCTGCCCAAGTAGTGTTTGTCCCTCCTGTCCACTTTCCTATTTCTAAGTCCATAATCGATAGGTGACACGACCTTCCCTAAGCTGATCAAGGCAAGAAGCACTTGCAGGGCAAGTCGGACCCTCGGCCCCTTGCCCGCTTCCGGGGGCGCGCGCCCGTCTCCTCGTTCGATGGTCCGCTTCCACGTTTGGTTCTGCACTTGCTACTGGGTCAGCGAGTCTCTTGACGAATCATGACCACACCCACAAACACACGGGGCATGGTTGCGGTGTCGCTTGGACATGCTGATCGAGTCGCTACATAGTTCAAGCCAAGGAGATCACCGCTACAGGCAAAGTCGAGACAGCTGGCCATCCTGCAGCAGCAGCAGCTGCTGCTGCGAGCACCAAAAGCCGCCTTACGGTACCGTACATGCTGCTGCTTGTTGCGCTTAGCGTGCTTGCTGAATGCATCACCTTGCAGGAGCAGGCGCAAAGGAGAGCTTCATGCCGCGGCTGCTGTGTGTCAGACTCACTTCACGCTGCCACTCGTGATTGCGCGACCCTCTTCAAGACATCCATCCATCCATCCACCCATCACCACATCCTATTCCGGTTCAGAAGCAGCAGCAGGCCCCACACTCGCTGTCGATGCTGTTTCGCTGACCATCCAACATCTACCTGGATTGCCTGGCCATAGCTGCTCACGGCGCACAGACGCTGTGCCACGACGAGTCTAACCCCACGCGTTGCTTAGCTCGTTTCAGCTTTGACGGACAACACACCGCGACGTTGCGACGAGCAAACGTATTGCCCGAACAAGCAACGCTGATGTGCATATAGTCACTCAGTCTGCTTTCGAGAAGAGCAGGTGGCAAGCTACGCCAAACATGCACGGTCTGGCGCAACCAGAACCCAGAATCGCGAATGGCTTGCCGTGCTTCATGGTCGTCTCCACGTGTGGAACGGAGCGGGATTGCGAGCGGCTGGCTATGCAGCACACAGGCTTTCTAGCTGCGCTCGCCGCGAACGAAAGCGCGACACAACAGGCTCAAGACGGCTGCTGATGACTCGTCGTCGCGTGGGAAGGGTCAGATCCGTGGCACAAGCGCGCCCGCCTCCTTGCTCGATTCGATTCAATCTTCGAACTTGAGTCAGAATCACGCGTGAATGGCTTGCTTCTCCGCGCTGTGAGCAGTTAAAAGTGCTAAACATCAGCACCGCCTACGCTCGCAACCGTTCTTCCTTATATGCAATGCTCTCGGACTGCATCACCGTACTCGCTCTACTGCCAGTCTGCCACGCCTGACAGGTTGATCAATCGGAATTGTAAATGTGACATGCAGGTGCCCTCACTCAAGACTCGAAATCCGCGGCGACGCTCCACCTGATGCTTATAGCGTGATGAACGCAGACAAGGCAGCAAGAGGAAGCGGTACAAGGAACAATTACTTTCAAATGATTCGCATCAGAAGGCTCAAGATTGCTTCCACAGTTCGGTGGTGATTGTTGTCGGATCTGAAGGTGGGGGGCCCACAAAATCGACTGCGCCTTCATCGTCAGCTGAGCTCCAGCTCCGACGTGCAAGACCCGGACTACGGCGCAGACTTGTACAAGCATCAGGCAAAAAGTGTTCACTCAAACTTACGACCGACTACAATTGCGTGAATCACGCTGTGGTTGGGGACGCGCTGATAAGCCGCAACTTGCTCATGGCTTGATCGATCATCAGGCCTCTGCAGCATGGTCCATAACAAGAAGAACCGCATGCAGCCGCCTCTTTGGAACTGTGCGGGTGTATATGTATAGCGACGGCTAGCTGCTGCAAAGGCGCGGGATCAGACAGACTGCGACGCACGCCTCTTCCGCGATGAAGTCACAACTGACTGCGCAGCTGCGGTCTCAAAACAGTGAGTGCGTGGCTGAGCACTCTAGCTCGAGCGACCTGGTCTCCGCATGATGACTGCGCAAACAATCTCGAATGGATTCACGCGATTGCAATGGCGTTATGGCATGTGCCTGTCGTTGCTCGGTCGTGCATGAGACGAGAATAAGCAACGAATACACAATCGTCGAATACATTCGTGCTTCGAGTCGCAGCTAGGATACAGTTGCCAGCGCGACCAATGGAAGGTGCGATGCAAGAATCAAGAGAGCTTTCCGCCCGCCCTCTGTGCCCGACACTAGTGTACTAAGGGGCTTAAAGACGGTCATCAGAAAGGTCCGGAATTCATGGAGTGATGCCTTCGACGCTCACCTGCGCGCCAGCTTTCTCATGCTGCTGGATGCTCGGTCGATGCGCACACTCGTGACTACTGCTCTGACTGCGCGAATCACAATGTCAAGAGTAGCCCTCGTACCTTGCAGAGTGACCCCTTCGGCCCGTGCATCGGCGCTTCTGCTCGCGGCTCTTGCTCAGCTATATCAGCGCCACTCGTAACTGGAATAAGCGCAGATCTAAAAGTTGTTCAAGACATCGCCACTACCCACCACAAATCACAAAGATCACAGCGGTGATTAGGGCAGCGCTATTCATGATTGCCCAGCTTTGGGTCACCGTGGACGGTCTGAGTGTCCCGCGTGGGTGGCATGTACACGCGTATACATTTGTGATGATTTCTATATCCAT